TGAAGTATAATTAACTTATCTTCCCAGGTAGCATCTGATTTAGGCAATCTAGTCCATTGAACTAAGCATTGGTCAATTTGATGGTCACCCCTAAATATAGTGTGATGTTGCAAGACATATGCAGGCTAGAGCAACAGGGAAGTAGATTGATCCAAAAGATCAATTGGAGTTATCTGTTGAGCAGGTTTGCCGATACATTTGCGCAGAACTGAGACATGGAAGACAAGGTGAATTCTCGAAGAGGCAGGCAAGTCCAATTTGTAGGCAACCTCTCCAATTCTTTGAGTGATCTGGAAGGGACCAAAATATTCACGATTTAGTTTGTTGTAGCGTTGTAAACGCATGCAAAGCTGTCAATAAGGTCTGAGGTGAACATAAACCCAGTCACCCACATTAAAAACAATATCGCGTCTTCATTTGTCAGCTAAAGCTTTCATTCGATCCTGAGCTTGTTTTAGTTTAGCTTTCAAAATAGCTAATGTTTCATCTCGTTGCTTAAAGGTTTCAATCACAGTATAGTTGGATGAACTATCAACAAGGAACCTTGAAATAGTTGGAGGAGGTCTGCCGTAAACAACTTCAAATGGAGTGAGTTTAGAACTTGGCTGAAATGAAGTATTGTACCAGAACTCTGCCCAGGGAAGAAGTTTGAACCAAGCAGCAGGAGTACCAGTAGTGAAGCAACGGAGGTACATCTCTAAACATTTGTTGAGTGCTTCTGTTTGGCCATCGGATTGAGGGTGGTAGGCAGAACCTTTAGCCAATTGGGTACCCTGCAATCTGTTAACTTCTTGCCAGAATTCAGATAAAAATATAGGATCATGATCAGTAATGATTTTGATTGGAAAGCCATATAAGCGAATGAACTCCTAAATAAAAAGTTCAACAACTTTTTGACTAGTAAAATTGGGTGGAAGACCAATAAAATGCCCATATTTAGAGAGTCTGTCCACAATTACTAGGATGGCAGTCTGTCCAATAGACGAGGGTAAACCAGTGATGAAATCCATTGAGATTTCTTCAAAAATTGCAGAAGGAAGTGGAATTGGCTGGAGAAGACCAGCAGGTTTTAAGGCTGAATCTTTCATCTGCTGACAAATTTGGCATGCTTGGACGAAGGTCTTGACATCTGAATGCATACCCGACCAAAATAAGTTAGAGGAGAGCCTGTGAAATGTTCGGTAAATGCCTGCATGACCCCCTATTTTGGAAGCATGGAACTCATGTAAATGTGACTGACGCAGCGTATCATCTTTTGGAAACACAAGCCTATTTCGATATAGTAAAAGACCCTCCTGAAATGTAAAATTGGGAAGGGAACTGGAATCTTCAATAAGCTGTTGCTGGAGATGAAATAGATTAGGATCAGAAGTATTCAATTGCCTCAATTTCTCAATCAGTGCAAACTCAGTAACAGCCATCGTGAGAGATTGTAAAGCAGGCACACGTGAGAGAGCATCTGCAGGAGAATTAAGTCTTCCAGGACGATATATTATATCAAAATCATAGCCTATAAGCTTGCTTAGCCAATGTTGCTGCTCGAGGGTTTGAATAACCTAATTGGTAAGAGCTCGAAGAGGCTGCTGATCAGTGATGATTAAAAACTTACGACCCAACAAATATTGCCGCCATTTCTAGACTTCATGAGTGATGGAAAACATTTCACGATGGTATGTCGAGGCAACTTGCATCCTTGGAGAAAGTTTTTGGCTAAAGAATGCTATAGGATGGCCATCTTGTGAGAGAACAGCACCAATTCCACAACCGGATGCATCCGTTTCCACAGAGAAAGCTTTGGTAAAGTTGGGAAGGCAAAGAATAGGGACTGTGCTTAAAGCATGCTTCAATTGCAAGAAAGATTTAGATTCCAAGTCGAACCATTTGAAAGCATCCTTTTTTAAAAGATCAGTTAATGGGGAAGCCAGTTGAGCATAACTTTTGACAAAGCGGCGATAATAGCCTCTGAGCCCCAAGAAACCCCGTACATCTTTGACCGAAGAAGGAGGAGGCCAGGATTCAATGGCCCGAATTTTGGCAGGATCAGCCTGTAAGACCTTGAAAGACATTATATGGCCGAGGTAGTCAATGGAAGTTTGTCCAAATTGGCATTTTGAACGTTTGACAACCAGTGAGTTCTGGCGAAGAATGTCAAAAACTTGGGACAAATGATCAAGGTGGTCTAGCCAAGAGTGACTGTAGACCAAAATATCATCGAAGAAAACTAGGACAAAACGACGAAGGAAGGGCTTAAAAATAAAGTTCATGGTTGCCTGAAAAGTAGAGGGGGAATTGAATAGGCCAAACGGCATGACGATGAACTCATAGTGACCTTCGTGTGTCCAAAAAGCAGTTTTCTCAATATCAGCAGGGTGTACACGAATTTGGTGATATCCTGCCAATAAATCCAACATAGAAAATAAGCGAGCACCCAGTAACTCATCAAAGAGTTCATCAATTGTAGGAATTGGAAAGCGATCTTTGATAGTAATAGAGTTCAAAGCCTGGTAATCAACACAAAAGCACCATGTACCATCCTTCTTCCGAACCAAAAGAACAGGGGAAGAGTATGGGCTCGAGTTAGGGCGGATAATGCTCGATTGTAGCATTTCAGTAACCAATTTCTCAATTTTAGCCTTTTGGAAATGAGGGTAATGGTATGGTCAAACGTTAATAGGGGTGGAGCCAGGAATTAAAGGAATACAGTAATCTTGTGGATGTGTAGGTGGGAGAGCCGAGGCTTTAGCAAAAACATTAGAAAAAGAGTCAAGAAGAGTAGAAAGATCTGATGGATGATCTGATACAGGAGGTGGTATTATGGGAAGGAGTTCAAGGTGAAAGAATCAGGCAATGGATTCGGTTTTAGAAAGATGGCGTAGTGAAGATAACTGGACTTGCTCCAAAGGTGGGTCAGAACCTGTCCAACAAATTACTCAATTTTTGTCCTCAAATTGAAATGTGCATTTGGCATAGTCTGTTATTGTTGGACCCAAAGTAGCTAACCAAATAATACCCAAAACTAGATCCGACCCATGGAAATCTATAACAAAGAAATTTGTGGCAAATGAAAACCCTTGAACACTGACGGACAACTGACGAACAACACCTTGACATGGTAGGAGGTTGCCATTGCTGACCATAACAGAGAATTTGGAGGAACTTTTAACTGACAATTTTATAAATTTAGCAATACGAGGGTGAATGAAATTATGAGTGCTACCTCCGTCGATAAACACCTGAAAATCAAACCCTTTGATTTGGCCAGTAAAGCGTAGTGAAGCCGGAGTCGAGCCTCCTGACAAAGCTAGATAGCTAATAGTGGGAACCGTGGTATCATCGGGTGGAGCTTGGGGAGGCACCACCACTGATGGTGTATTAGAGGGTGTATCAAAGGACTCTGAAGGAAGGTCCTCAATCGTGGAGTCATCATCAGCCAAAAGCAGTAAAAGTTGTGGTGTAGAAGAACATTTGTGGTTTCTGTGCCATTTAGCATCACAATTAAAGCAGAGATTGAGATCTCTTTTACGCTGCAGCTCAGCTGGGGTTAGCTTCTTAAAAGGTACGCGACCCACACCCGGAAGGGTGACTAAGGGCGTAATTGATGGAGAGGGAATAGAAGAAACTGGTGCAGAAGTCTTTGGAAGTGTCGAAGACAACTGCATTGAAAGGTAAAGGATAGACTTACCAGTCTGATTCGGTCGGGTCGAAGTTATTGAATTAACAGAGCCCAATATCTTTTGTTCTTGTAGAAAGGCCAGCCCAATAGCATCATGAAGGTCCGTTGGCCTAAACGATAGCACGTCAGTTTTGATATCTTGTCGCAGGCCGAATGTAAATACGTGTAACAACAACCCCGGTTAAATTTGGGTCGTCTGATTAGCAAGATTTTCAAAATGAGTGAGATACTCAGTCACTAAAGAAGTCATCTGTAGTTTAGCTAATAAACTCTCCGGTGATTCAATCGAATTAGAACCAAATCGAATCACAAGGGCCTTGGAAAATTGTTCCCAACTGAAGAGTTAGTGATTGTTGTACATCCATTGATACCAATCTCTAGCGTCACCCTCCAAATAGAATGGACAGATACTAAGATGATTTTCAGCAGAGACATTGTAAAAGTCAAAATATCGATTGGCTTGAAAAATCCAACTCATAGCGTCGGAACCATCAAATCGTGGCAGATCTATGGTGGCCGGTTTATCTCTGCGAAAAGAGCCCAGCGGGTTTTGGTTTAACTGTAGGGTATTTTGTGGAGTGGTTTGGTTTTTAGGCTGGTTTTGCATCTGAGCAAGTTGGGTCGACATATCTTGAAACATGGACTGTTATACCTGCAGGATAACATTAATGTTCTCAAAATTTTGGGCATGGGTAGCAAGCTGGTCATGAACCAATTTCATGGCGTCATCCAAAGTTTTCAGGTGAGTCGTCGGAGCTCCGTCACCCATTGTCAGTGGGAGTAGAGGGTCAACGAGAGAACCAAATTGTTATGAACTTGTGTTGATTGAAATCAAAATACAATTACCGTGAAAGATCTAAGAACTGGACTAGGAAAATACACTAAAATGGTAATGAAACAGTAAAGAAATAGGGAAGGGTTCCAGATAAAACTAGCCAAAATAAGAAAATACTCAAGTTCATACATAATCCTATCATTCTAGCCTTGCTAGATATTTATAGAAGCATAAGTTGCATCAGATGGTAACTTGCGAGTCCTCCACTACCTCTAACAGATTTTGCAGACCTTGTCATTTCTTTGGATTGGGGACCACGAAATTCTCCAAATATTTGGGAGGGTGTATGGCACGTGCACTGCGTCTAGTACCCTCTACTATCTCCTGTGGATTCATAACAGGTACCGTTTGAAGTTATTTTACCTTTGACAGGATTGATAATTGTGTCTCGGACAGAGAGTTTAATTTCTCTGTTCTGGCCCTTGCTATTCAAGTAAAATTGTACTTAAAAACAAACTTGCTTGGGAAGTCCTCACTTGATGTATAGAGGATATGAAGGTAACTTTGCAACAGGTGCTTGGTCTCATTGTTCGTTATCCTGTTCGGGCTATTCTCCTGCAAAACCTTACTCCTACTCATGGAGTAATTGTAAAGTTATCTCCGTATGACCTATAGTTTACAAGGGTGTTGAGCCGTGGAATAAGCTATTGGTGCTTGCATCGGGGTAGACTGCCTATATCTCTGGAGTAGTAGGACCCTTCAAGCACCCCTGCGTGAGCAGGGGTGCTTTGTGCACTGAACTCCTGCCCTGCTCTATATTTCAATGTCCCATTTCATTTGACCTGTTAATAAGCTACAAATCCATGATATTATTCTTTCTTCTGAGTCTTCTTTTCCGGTTGCCGAAATGCAGCTCTAAGTTCTCAATTGAGGCAGTGACAGTTGGTGGGGTGAGTCTTTGTAGCTACTCCGAGTTGCTAAAGATCACTGATTTCAAGACTGGGAACTTTCTTCAGAAGACTCTTTCAGGAAGATTGTTCTGTGGCGCCATTGGTGAAGGATCTGAAAAACGGCTTGTAATTGTAAAGACATGGGATGTTCTCCTTCCTTACAGGGGTGATCTTGCTCAAAGTCTACCTAAATTTTGTGTATGTTTGCTAGATATGGCTGAATTTAATTTCCTGTCTGTTGTTTTGGTTGAATGATGATAACGGTTCTTTTGTAGGATGAGATTAAGTTATTCACAGATAAAACAGCAAATACGCATCCAAATTTGGCAAAATTGTGTACGTTCTGTTGTGACACGAGGCTTGCAGCTGTCTATGAGTATGATGAAAAATGTACCGGAGTCTTGTCTGATGTTCTTTTGGATGGTATCTAAGTTGCCTCAAGTCTTATGTTGAATGACTGTTCATAGTGACCTTTTTGTGCATTTTAACCCATTTTTTATGTTCTTTATTTCTTATTCCTCAGATAAATTTGGGTGGAGTAACAGGATAAAAGTGGCAGCTCAACTTGCAAATCTCTTGGCATGGTTGCATGAGAAGGGGATTGCAGTTGGTTGTGTTACTGCATCATGTATTATGATAGATGAGGTTGAGTTTCAGCCCTTGGTCGTCTGGCCAACTTTCTATTTCTCTTAGATAAGATATTAGAAGATTTTTAACAAGTTACTACTTTAGTTTGGCTGCAGGAACTGAATATAAAAGTATATTTCCTCTTCCCCCCCCCCCCCCC